GACAGATAGTCCAAAGTGTCCTCTTCAAAATGGGAGTCAAGCGAGACTCTCATTTTCGATCGCTTAGGCCTGGCATCGAATTTCCTGCGAGTCCCAGAACTGGACTTTTCTCACACGTGGGAACCTCACAAATGACTCTAGACAGGGGTTATCGGCTACGCTGGGTCTTGTGGCAGTCTCTGTTTAACGATTTAAGAACGTTTTTACATATGAACTATCAATCTAAGCGGTTATAACTACTGTACTACCTTAAAACTACTTCACTTCGTTTCCAATCAGTATAATGTTACATAAACAAGAATAAAATGAAACTGTTATCCATCTGTGTCATATTTTATCATGAAATGAACATCAGCACGTTGAGTGCAGGAAAATCGGGAACGAAAAACATTTTTACTTTCTTGAGCAAATATACATGAAATCAGTGTTCTTCATTCTCTATTCTTATCGTTATATAGACATTTATTCTAAAACATGATATAAATCGGAGCTGATTTGCTCAAGAAAGTGAAAATGTTTAAGGTAGTACAGTAGTTATAACAGCTTAGGTTGAGCACGGGTTTCGATAGTTCATATGTAAAACCGTTAAACAGAGAATACCACAAGACCCAGCGTAGCCGATAACCCCTGTCTAGAGTCATTTGTGAGGTTCCCACGTGTGAGAAAAGACCAGTTCTGGGACTCGCAGGAAATTCGATGCCAGGCCTAAGCGATCGAAAATGAGAGTCTCGCTTGACTCCCATTTTGAAGAGGACACTTTGGACTATCTGTCCATGAAAAAACATCAAACCATTTGTATTTCAAGTTTTTGAACAATGACCTGGTTTTCCAAAGATCTTCTGAAAAACCTGCTTTAGGGAAAGATTTTGAAAATGGCTTTCATTGTGAAAAGATGCAGTTAGAACCTAGCTTTCGTTTAGTGAAGATCGCAAGCATCTACCACTTTTCTGTCAAACGTTATTCAAAAAATATCCGAGTTCATTCTTCTTTTTACCGACAATAGTTGCAGTCTTCTTCGAAAAGAAGTGAAATAAAGAGCAGTATACAAAATATACTTTATATCTTATATAAACAGCGCAGAGACAAGGACTTGAAAGTTGAAGTGCTCACAATTCCTATAAACAAAAATTCATTCTACACTTTGTTTCTTATCTCTTCTCAAAGTGCATTATTATTTTATTTAATTTTCGAAACAAGTGATTTATTTTAATTAAAAATCATTTTGACGCTGCATTAATAATTTTTATGACATGATACTAACTATTCTGTCAATTCGAAGAACTTTGCCGAGCTTTCATTTCAATAATGCAAACAACCGTAAAAAATTTTTGTTATCGTATACTTAAAAAAATATGGTGATCAAAAATCTTTTTTTTTGGTGATCATTTGTATCTAAAAATGATCGGTGATAAAGAGAATTGGTATTCTAATAAAAAAGGTTATACAGTTAAAAATACAAAAATGAATACTCACAGATTGAATTATTTACTTCAAATGAATTGAATCGTATCGTGGATGCAATTAGCAATTCTTTCATATGATCTATTATTCCATTACAATATGATCGTACTCGCTCATTGTTGTCTATCTCGTTAATTGCAGTAGTATTTGTATTGATTTGAATGTTGAGCTTTGAATGTTGAGCAAGGGGGGGAAATGAGCAACAATGATGCTCAACTTGATGTTGAGTCTCTATTTTTGGCGTCAAAAATGATGAATAATGTGACATATCATTTTCATTACCTACAATCATATGAAAATAGAGAGAGAGAAATAGGAACTAAAAAAATAACACTTACTGTTAACATTATTTTGTTCATAATCGAGTATGCGACTATATTGATCGTCTATAATAAATAAAAATGAAACATATAAACTGACTATGACTATGTTATACTTATTACCCCATCTATTAAGCGGTTCGGATGTTTGTACTGACTCAGTGTAATCGTTTGTTTCTTGAATGTACATTTGGATTATATTATTTATATGTTTATCATCCCGTTGTACAATTGTGTCGATAGTACCATCTAGTTTACCAAAGAATAACGGATCATAATGGTTTCTCTTCTCATCAAATAACAGATAAGCACATTGAACATCATTCCCACATACACATGTGCGTAGTATTTTATTGTTATCATTTAAACATAGCACATAGTATTGGATTTGGTATAGATCAGCAAATGCATGTAATTCAATTCCACTTCCATATGTACCTTCTTGTTGAAGATCAATAATATATTGCATAGGATTTTTACAAGAGTTTCTGTATTGTGCATTGTTCTCTATTGTTCGCGCAGCTCGTTTACGATACTCTAAGAGAGGTGTTAAATTGAGTGCACCTTTTTGTTCAATAAATTTAATTGCGGCGAATAGAGAGCTATCATTATCACTACATTTATATCGGTAAACTTTTCTACTTTCATAAATTATTTCCTGTTGAACAAATTGCCTATATATAATAAAAAAAGTGTCAATAAAATTAAGATAGACAATATAATACATTTCTAGTTTACTGGATAGAATTTTTATTCAAATTATGTTCGACTTGACGATAGTATTGTGTGTCATCAATCGTATTAGATATGATGTCGTTGAAATCTTCGTCTTCAAATCTAAAAAAAAGATTTCATATATAGTAACAGAATTTCACATGTTACAGAAGCGTGACCCTGACAACTTCTACATCGTATAACTTATTTTATTTAAGGGTACCCCTCCCCCCTTTTTGGGCTTTCCGTAGAAATGCTGTGAAATAAAAACTAAAGATCGCTAGGGTTTCGTATTTTCAGAACTGATTGGAAACTCAATGGAGCACTTTTTCGTTTTTGCTTCGATTTCTCAACTATTTCCATTCATCAGTTTTTCAGAAAACTCGATTGTTCATTGTGCCACATGACGACCCCCCACCCCGCTCTTAAATTTCGTCCGATCAAGTTAAAAATTTTACCAAAGGTACTCAACGTCATTCCGCAAAGGTAATTTTTGGGAAATATTTTTCAGACCTTTCCCGGTTGAGTTATATGAAAAATACTGAAAAACGTCTCAGAAACCAATGTTTTCAACTTTAGAAACCTATAACTCGGTAAAGAAAGATCTAAAATAAAATTCAAAAAGTTTATCTCTGTAAAAAGGGTCTTGAGTATCTTCGGTAAACTTTTGAACTCGATCGAATGAAATTTAAGGGGAGTCATAATGTGGTCTAATGAACCCCGGTAGCAAAAAATAGTTGTCGAGAAAAACGCATTTTGTACACAGGTCACACGTTTTCAGGATATTTACCTCAATGCTTATATCCCCACAAAAACTCATCGGAAAATTCTGGGAGACATCTCATTGTGAAGAGAAGACTTTCTTCTATCGAACTATGTGTAAGAAAAACTTCTGAGCGTAAGGACAGGAGAGAAAAATCTATGAAAGTAAAATATTGAGTTTTTTCAGGCTTTGAAGGAAAAACTTCAAAAATGCATAACATTTTGAAGAAAGGTCGTGGAATGCTGGCAGCGGTCTCATTTCGTAGCCCAAACTTTTCTCTACGTTAGGCTATGCTTAACTCAAATTCCAAAATTTTTTTGAAAAGGGAGTGGGGCATGAACTAGGTTTTAACTGGTGTTGGGGTATCCGGCAGAATTGCTTTTCATCAGTTATCACGATTGTCACAGAGCTGTAAATCATCCTATTTTGTAGAAAAATGTTTGCTCCACAAAATGCATTTGTTAAAAACGTTCCAGAATCATTTCTAAGAAAACTTAGAGAATTCAAAAATACATTAAATCACGGAAAAAAACTGTTCGAACAGTTTTGTTTCGTGATTTCGTACATTTTAGAAAGTTTCAGTTTTTCATGAGTTTTTTTATAAAAACTCCATAACTCGAGAAGGAAAAGTCGAAAATAAGAAACGAAACTTATTACTCTAAAATATCGGCCTAGGTATTTGTTGAAGTTATTTTTTCTCTTTAGATGATAGAAATTGTGAAGCAGATGATCATGGTACAAATGTCGCAAGTATGCACTCTATATCTTATACTCAAATACCATACATAAAAAGGCATATCTTTGTTTCTTTATTTATATAATAGTTCCGACAGATCAAGAACCTCATATACCTGAAGTCGGAATACATCAAGAATTAAGGTTGAACGAACAAGAAGAAGCTGAAAATCGAATTGAATTATCAACGCAAGCTAATCCAGGTAAATAAAACAAAGAAATTGAGTAGTTCTTTTTTTTGCTGAAGAGACTTCTTTTGTGTTTTTAGCGAATGATGCGCCGCCGTTCAATACAACCGGGGAAGAAAACGAAATATCTTTGATAACTAAGCTTGAAATAATGGTTCAACCTGCTCCTTTTTACCATAAGCGTTATTTAGCTGAATTATCAAAATGTCCTTGTATACAATCTGGCTCGAAACAACGTGAACATCCCCAAACAGCAGTAATTAACGAATGATTTTTTTATTCACTCTAAGATAGCAAGATTTATCTATTCTTTCTCTCCTAGATTAATCCTATATGGCGGGAAATTTATGGTGAAGAACTTTACATACGTGTACAATTGTGCAAACACAATGGTGATCCACATCCATATAAATTACTTCCCGACGGTGCAATAATAGATGCTGATTTAAATGTAATAATTGAACGTTTTAATGGGCATTATCATACAGAATCAAATTCATTATATTGTAAAATAATGCAATCAGATTTTGAAAATCAAGTTAAAAGGTAACGAAAAAATGATTTAAAGACAACTGAATTGAATTGAGGTTATATATTTTTGTGTTCTAGTTATCTAATAAAATTGATTGCCTTAAAGCAAAATACACATGGAATAACAAAACAAGTAATCAAAAGAGAAAAATTGAAACTGTCTAAAATAGGATTTACTTTATTTAAAAAACAATCGAATGGCAGATACCGACAACTATCTGAATAGGTTAATTCAGGAATTTTGTTCCATATTGACGTATACTTTTTGTAAGAAAGCTGTTAATGAAGTTCACGTCATTATTTACGAATATTCATAAACATCATATTCATCTTTTATAGAAGAAGGTAATTATGAACGTACGAAAACATGATTACGTGTAAAAGAGTAAATAGGATGAATTCTATTTATTTAGGAATCGGAAAATTAAAACTGAATAGTATATCAGGGATAGTTTGTGCGTCTGGTGGAGAAAAAGTTGTTATGTCATTTACTGGTGGTCCATTAGAGAAAGACGGTGAGTATTTTGCCAGTGTGTCAAAATATAGAAACTGTGTAGGAAATATAATCTCAGCTTACTATAATCCGGCTATCGGTGATGGCATAGGATGCTGATAAGTCAAATTTGTTAGTTTCAAGCGGTCAGATTCTTCGCATGCAGTTAATAATCTTCGAAGGAGATCACTCATCCTATATTACTCTCCGTTTCAGAAAAGAATGGTCTTAAATGTTTTCAAAAAATTTCAAACAGACTAGAGATTCCACAGATTTTTCGCTCCACTTCTCTACTAGAGAAGCAAAAGCGTAAACACGCAGAGGCGTAGACAGTCCCTCCGCCTTTACGTCACCATCTCTCTATGTCTCTAGGGAAAAAACCGTCAATAATCTCCGGGGTTTAGTGACTGGACATTGAACGTGGTCTGGTGACTCACTCTCATGCCCGCCCCTGCCGACTCACCCTATGCTTTTAAGTCTATACTCTTTTATGTCTTTTTGAAATTTTTCAATGAAAATTCGACAGGCTTTCGACACTGTCGAATTTTTAGTCTATCGAAAATTTTTCGCTCGAAATTCGACAGTGTCGAGTTTTTTTGACTCGAAATTTGACACTGTCGAAACACAGTGTCGAAACCTATTTTCTTCGAACTGCGAAATTACCTTGAGCAAGATTAAATAATGCATTTTGTCACAGTGTTTTTCTCAGGCGTAGGTCTTGCTGAGTAACTCTATTTTACGGCTAGAATAGGTCTGACACATACATAATATTTGTATATTTAAAGATTAGCACAGAATGGAAATGGGTATAAAGTCCGCTCATTTTTTATTTTTCTCTGTACAAAGCAGCCGAATGTCGACGGTTGCAACATTTTCTTGTATGGCGATTGTAGTAGCTTTATAACCTTTGTAAAGCACAAAATTCTCTATCTTCTAACAATAAAACAGAGTTACTCAATAAGACTTATGGCTGAGAAAAACTATGCGTCATTAAGTCTTGCCTAACCGTATGCTGTACGCCACAATGTAGCAAGTTTAGTATCGAACGTATGATCTGAAGAAAATGAGAATAGGTAATTTGTCTAAAACTAGTACCCTAGACGAACATTTTTCGTTATTTCTGGTAAGAATTTTATGCGAATCTTAGCGGATTCTTACATAAGAAGTCTACATGACCGTTTTGAGAATGGTCTCGCGATCTATTACACACTCACTAATGAACTATACAGCTAACTGAAGAAGGAAAACAAATATTAGTTTTGTGAGTCCTTGTTTTTTTGTCAAAAATTCTTGTTGTTTTTTTTGAATTTTTTCAGTATGTTTAACTGATCCTTATCTGCTTTTTATCAAATTCTTGTCACTTTCATGTGGACTCCTTATGTAAGAATTTAATAAGGATCTAATAAGGTTCTTATATGAGCCATACCGGATTCTTATAAGTTTCTTATCGGATTCGTTTGTAAGAATCGATCACTAGGGTACATGATTTGTTGGTACAGGAATTCGAAAATAGGAGTTCTGAAACACGTGACGAAACAATACAACTGTCGCATCAAGATAAATATTAGTGAACTATTTTATTTTTTAGTTTGTAAATTGTCACTAAATTATAAACCGTCTAGGTTTGAAAAAAAGCATAATACAGTTGAATTCATATCTATTTTACAATCATCACCTATGGGTGTTTTAAATGTTATGTTTACACAAGAAAATCTTTATTTTAACGTTATTACTGGTGAGAAAAGGTACCGTGAAATTGTGAACATAGATATTAAGTATACTCGACATGAAGGTAAAAATTTGATCATTATCTAAATCTATTATCGTATAGTTTTGAACTTAAGATATCCTCTTATTTTTCTTAGAACATCCAAATCAATTACACCAGTGTGATCGTAAAAAAATTGATGCTCATTAACAAAACACAGGACAAAAAGTAATATGGCGTAAACACATTGAATTTCCCATACAAAAAATCGACGGAATGAAACTTAATCTTAATTTTTTATTATGTATATACAGTTTTAGCTTAGTTTTTATGATTATTAATCAATCATAGATTTTATATATGGTAGAATTATATACGTAGTAGGAGTTTTTATTAAATATGAAATTAGCTACTAAAACTTAAAAAGGGTCAAGAGAATCTGAAATGACTATGTTGTAAAATGACAAAATCATCATTATACGACTCGAAAAAATTTACATAGGTTGTTAAGCGAAAATTATGCTACTTTTTCTTTTACAGATAAAACAAGACTATAATCGATTTTCTTTTCTTTTTACGAAAGATCAGATCTACTATATATTATTTAATCTACAAATATTCAATTTCCAATAATTCATCACTCTCTCAAACATACTTCAAACACATCTTAGACTAAAAACTGTTTCCATCTTTGTAATGCTAATTTTTAAGCATCCTCATAAAACACTCTCACAAACAACACCAATATCTTTGTAGATCTTCTAAATGGCAGCACTTCTATTGCTTGTATTTTCAGCACGCCAGTTATACGAAGTAAATATAAAATTAAGGATTTGAAATACACTTCCTAACCGATAGAAGAAACGTTTTTTAATCTTTATTAAGAAATCTCAGATGTACGAAAACCTCTGCGATTATAATAATGCACCGTGCATATCACATCAGGTGAAATAATGTCTTCGAATGACCTACGATGACACACCGTTTTAGTTTATCTTGACTATTTAAAAAAAGTGTTTCTACCAACTCTTGTTCTATCAGTGTTGACAATGAGTGAAAATTCAATACTCACCTTATATTTACTGTGTAAAATAAAAATGATTACATGTATGTGTTTCTTACTTTATATATATAAGACAAGAAAACACATGGCTATTTCCACCTTGACGTGTTTTAATCATTCTCGGAGTTGTCGTCATTGAAAACAAGTAAGAAACTTCCAAAGACACGAATAGAACGAGAAAAAGTTTGACATTGAGTTTTTTCTTGCTCATATGGTTAACAAATATTACCTCTAAGTAACCCTATTCATTCCAGGAAGTAAAAGTAGTCTCAAAATGATCGTTTTCCGTCTTCTCTACTACTTAAATAAAAAATTTAATCTGATCAGACAGAAAAAGTTTGTCTTAGCCTCCTACACGCCCGTTAAGCATTAGCTGACCAAGCGGTATAGACATGCTTTAGAATAATCCTGTAGAAAAACATGTTTCATTTCTCAGAGCAAAGTTTTTACTGTTAGTGCCTCTCATCCATAGGTATAATTGTCTGTGAGAATGAAGGATGAACTAAACTAACTAATGAAACTGTTCGATGCTGAAATTAACTGATTACACAGTGATCGATAGTGAACAGTTAATGGTTTTCATTATATTCCACGAAGTTTTGTATTTGATATAAATAAGGTGCGCGTGATGCTAAAGTTATTAAAAAAAGGAAATTACTATCGAAAGGTCTTTTGTCTGTTCTTTTTTGTTCGCTTGTTGGGAGAATATTTCTTATAATGCGGTTGGAGTTCAAGCATACAAAAAATCAATGAGATTGCATATCCATTAAATTCATAACTAGCTAACGTATCTTTTATATGCAATAGACCTCATTTATTTTTACATTAATTAATCTCTTAATCCTTATGGTCGACCTTGCGAATAGGCATGCAACAATTATTTTATCGGGGCTCTCGGGAGTAACAGTTTTAAAAATCGGAGAAACTGTTCAAAACCTTTTTGAGTCGGCAGTTTTGTGCAGAAATGTTTGCTCTACCAAATAAGACGTTGCAGGCTTTTTCACGGTGGTTCGTAGATGAGATATGAGTTTTTTTCCCTAAAATAGGACCGGTTATAACCGGCCGTTAACCGCCGGTTCCTTTTTCAACAAAAAACTTTGTATCTCATCTACGAACCGCCGTGAGAAAGCCTGCAACGTCTTATTTGGTAGAGCAAACATTTATGCACAAAACTGCCGACTCGAAAAAGTTTTGAACAGTTTCTCCGATTTTTAAAACTGCTACTCCCGGGAGCCTCGATAAAATAACCGTTGCATGCTTACTTGCGAATATCAGGCTTGAACCAAAATGTAACGTACTGACCGGTGGCACAAGAAAATCTACTCCAACCACAATGGTGGCCTTCCCGTTTTTGCAGGTTTCTTAACCTTTTATCATTTTCTTTATGACGTATTTATATTCATTAGAACCGCCATTAAGCGAGCTTTAGAAGTACACATCGCCTTTTTCTTTTGTTTTGCTTTATCATTAAGAGAATACATTTTTTTAAATCACGAGCGAAAAAATCGGAATTCTGTCCGTAATTCTCTATTTTCTCAACTAGAACTCACTTTTTATGCAATAAAAATATCATATTCGACGTCAGCACCCAAAATTGAGTCGAATGGCATATGTTTCGAAATTTCTCGTTGATTTTTCTTTTTTGGTGACAATGTCAGTAACTTTCCGGAGAAAACAAAAACAATCGGTTTGGATAAAAAGGTACATCATTCGACTCAATTTTCGAAGCTGACGTCGAATATGATATTTTTATTGCATAAAAAGTGAGTTCTAGTTGAGAAAATAGAGAATTACGGACAGAATTCCGATTTTTTCGCTCCTGATTTAAAAAAATGTATTCTCTTAATGATAAAGCAAAACAAAAGAAAAAGGCGATGTGTACTTCTAAAGCTCGCTTAATGGCGGTTCTAATGAATATAAATAAGTCATAAAGAAAATGATAAAAGATTAAGAAACCTGCGAAAATGGGGGTGCTTTGAATGAGGTTCGTAACGAACAGACAAAAAATGGGTCAACTTTTATTCGTGAAATTTTAAATCAACCGTTTTCTTACGCAGTTTTGATGCTCTTTCCATTGATATGTCTAAAAGGAAGTTTCATCCATTCATTACCGAGATAGAGAGTTTACACTTTGACCATGTCGACTTTACCTTAAAATCGATCTGCCTACCCAAAAAAGCATTTTTCAAAAATCCTTTTTTACCAAAATGTTCGCTATCTTCTCCACTTTCTGGTGGTATAGTTTTCAAAGCTTTAAACTTCCTTGACGGGTCAGAAAATCAATTACATAGTCGTACGGAAAATTTTTGCAGCTCTTCGGTACCGAAGAGAAAGTAACCGACCAGTGATGTCGACCTACCGACCAGAATAACCAATATATTAAATTTTGTTTTTCGACAAATATACTCGAAGGGATGGGCAACATTTTGGTTAAAACCGTTTGCCGAAAGACCAGTCCTCTGCTGAGTTATGGTTAAAACAAAAAGGGTTTGGACCGTACGGAAAATTTTTGCGGTAGTAGTAGTTTCTTCTTTCTTTCAACTTTACTTAGGCTAGAATATTTTGTGCAATAACCGCCATTATTGTTTTTATATTTTTCTCGCTTTCAAGGCCATCTACTTTTATTGTATATTTTAAATGTACTACCAGATTAAGATAAACGCCTGAATATCCTCGAAAGTCGAGGTGAAACGCGTCGCACCGATCAAGTTCTATTTTACAAATAGACTACTTAGTCTACGTGTTTTCCTTTTAGTTCTTTTAGTCCCAGGGCTGGGCAACTCCAGTTCCGAAGTTGAGGATTTTTTTAGTGGAGTGGAGTTGGAGTTGAGATTTTAATAGGTTTCAGTTGGGTATTTGAATTTTTTTTCTCAACTCCGTTTTACATTTTTGAAAATATTTTTTAGTAAAATAAGTACACTGAAAATAAGTTAGACTGATCTTCTAAACGATTGAGTGGCTGTATTCAAGAGTGAATTCGGAGGTTCTTTGTGGTTTCCTGCCGAAAAAAGCTCAAAAACCTCCAGAATCCTGCTAAAAATCGAAAAATCTACCTTACAAAATTGAAGCAACCGAAGTTGAACTGAAGTTGAGATTTTTGTTGAGAGAGAATTTGTTGAAAATCTTGAACGGAGTTGGAGTTGGAAATTTGAAAACAGGGTTGAGTTGGAGTTGAAAGTCAGCCGAGTTGCCTAGCCCTGTTTAGTCCGTTTTATCCGTTGTATAGCATCGGCTTATTGTAATAAAAATGGCCAGTAACATTAGAACGACTAGGAACTTGAATAACATGCTAAACACAAAATCAGAGATCAGATTCGATCAGACCACAGAAGAATACACATTGATCTTTTCTGCCATGTGTTTGTGGAATTTTTGACTCCATCTGTCTTCATCACTAATAATGAGTTGGCGTTCTTAGTTAAGACTTCTCGTACGAATTTCGCCGAAAAGTAGGGGTGTCTAAATTATTACGTAGTCATAAAAATGGTGGTAAAGTGATGACGTCATTACTGATAGAAAGTCGTAAAATGTCAATTAACGGCTTAATTGAAGTTAAGGGTTCTCCATTTGAATATGGAAACTGAAAAACTCTCATTTTAATATCCTTTGGAAAAAAACGTAGGCTCTTTCGTCGTTTTGAAGCAGTTGCGACGTGGGCACTTGTAGGACTTGGAGCACCAGACTTAGTGGCAAAATAAAAGTAAAAATATGATTTTTGTTGCTCACATGCATGTTTAAAGACCAGCGGATGTATTGAAAAGCATGTATGATAAGAACGTGATAGTATATTATAGATGTAGCAGTGTTTGATCACGAGAATTTGAAAAGTTAAGCATACAGTGGATCTAAAAATTATTCGTTCATCTTTCTTTTTCGTTTTACTCGTTGACCATAGTAGGTAGAACAAAGGACGAGAGAACAAGAGAAGACAAAATCTAATTCTTTTAAGTACGATTAATTAATGTAAAACAGCTTTGCCTTACACGCACTAACGTGAAAACTCAATGTTATCCCAATGTGGAACAAATTGATGTATCTAGCGTAACATATGATGGCTTTAAATACATTCCTTTTCTTTCTTGTTACATGTTTGATATCATCGTTCACTTCTTTAGTCCACCTATTATTATCATTCTTGACTATATTTATGTATAGATCCGTCTTGTATACAAAAGATAGCTACATTACTATTTTATCTAAATGTTTGTGTTGGCTTTTATGCCTATATTTTAAGTATATTAAAAAATTATTTTGACAATACGTAACAATTGACGATGGTCAGAAATGAACTTTTAAATTAATCTGCATCACGCTATATATAGTGAACATACAAACATACCAAAGAAATAATAAGGAGCATTGCGAAAGCAACAAAAAGGACTTAGAAATGCCAGAAAACTTGAGTGAGTTATCTAATACAACCAGCAAGACGGCGAATATTATTATTAATGCTGTTACATATCAATGTGACTATTAGTATTTTAATTTCTTTGGTGGTTTTAATATCTATTTTGTGTTATCGTCGACAATATTTTGATAATATACCAATATTATTAGTATGCAACACACCTGTAGCTATTCTCTCTTTGTCGTCGACAACCGCTATTCAACATATGTTTAGTTTATTTGGGAGATCTATTATTACGTTTCACAGCACTTTCGTCATCATGTGACGCTGAACTGTCGTCACATGATGAAAGTTCTGCTTTCAGTGACAAAACTTCCCCTGCATGTGACGAAAGTTTAGCTATGTTTACATAGTGGTTACGAAAGTTAACCCCTTTTGTGAAGAAAGTGTCTGGTTTTTAGACAGGTCGGAACTTTCGTCGCACGTCGCATGGAACGACTGCTATGAAATCAAGATTTAGTGTAAAGTTCATTAGTTCAAGGTGTTGTAGTGCGAACTGGAGTAGTCCAAACTGCAGTAATGCAGACTATAGCAGTGCAGATTGTAGTGATAACTTCATTTTTCTTTACAAACATCGCATTTTCTTAGCGAAACGCGTAAAACTCTTTAGAAGTTTTTTTCTAAAGTCAAAGTATCAAAATCAAGCGTCTATTGCGTTTGGAGGTGGTCCGCACTACAGCAGTCCAAATTGGAGTAGTCCAAATTCAAGCAGTTCTAGTCCAAATTGGAATAATCCAGTAGTTCTTTTTGGGTTGTGGTGAAAGTTCGCGATGCGGTGTGACGAAAGTTGTAGGTATGTTACAAAGTTTGGGTACGAAAGTTCACTACTCTTGTGTCCAAAGCGTGGGGTAGTACTCCCCCAAAAATATCATACACTTTCGTCACGTATGACGAAAGTGCTTACGTGCACGTATGACGTCAGCAACAGTTTTTGAATCAGAATTTTCTAATACGTCACGCTCATAAGTAAGTGAAAAATCACGACCAGTGGGAGACTCATAAAGACGAAATCCATCATTATTTCCAGTGGACGAAGTCAGCGTAGTGGATGTTACGAGGTAAGGAAAAACTTTTTTTATGTAGATAACTGTTACGCGGGCGATCTACAGGAAACCAAATACGTCATATTGCTGCTTGTTTTGTCTTATCAATTGCACTGTACTGCAGTTGATCTTTTAGACTACAACTTAGTTTCCAACAATGTCTACTTCTTCCTTGGTGCATTAAAGGCATCTTGAATAATTTCATTTCCAGTATCTGTGTACTTTGTGCATTGCTCAGATTCTTCTGACCATGGATCAACACTAGAGTTCAAATACCATTGAAAATTACGTGGACAGTGAAGTATTGGAGCAGCAGAAGCGGTAGACATTCATATTCTTTTACTTTTGTGACTAATATGATATAAAAAATGGGCTACGATTGTTTTCTTGGAACTTCTCTGTCTGAAAAACTTAAAAAAATGTAAATATTTTCGTTTTCTTATCATCATTCCTTTTTTCTTCTTCTCTCTATTTGTTTTTAAATAAAAGAAAAAGGTCTGGTTTGTTCTCAGGGTTAGCAAAAATTTTCTTTTTTTATTGCTTTTTTCTTTCTTTTAGCTCTATAACAAGTAGAAATCGATAAAAACACGCAGTTCACATCTCCTGAAATTTATTATTTTATTGAAATTTAAAAACGTCAAAGAATCATGAAAGGAAGCACTTTTTTTCCTTGGCTGTTAGATCATAACAGAAAAGAAGCAGATAATAGTCTCATATTTGTACTAATAATCAATAAAGTGATTTTTTGACCATTCTGTCCTCTTTTTTTGAAGCGTTTTAAGTTCTCTCAAATTCGGAGAAACTGAACATAACGACCAGTACACAGGCCTTTTTCTCGTCTCATTTGTTATGTTTTTGTAGACATTTATTGAACAAACTCGGTTATAAAAATCGTAAAATAAGCTATTTGGATTTATGATTTCTTGCTTCTATGCACCTTTTACACTTTCACAATTATTCTTAAACGATTACTGGACAGATCGACAGAAAAGAAAACAAATATATGAAATGAATGAAAGTGAAAGTTTCATTATTCATCCTTCTTTCGGTCAAATAAAACCCTACCATATATGGATAATGTTACAGAAAAAAGAAATTACGTTTCATGTTACACGTAGAGAACGGAAAAGTATAACGTTAGGCATTCACCCTGCTACAGATGCATTTTCCTCAACTTCGAAAAACAAAATTTTTTGTACACAACCATAATTTAAAGGTTGAATCAACTCACTTTAAAATAAATGTAATTTTATTCTTTCTGATTCAATTTTTTTAAAAATTGCTTAATTTAATAATTAAGCAAGATTATTGTGTAACGACGTAAGAATCAAGTTAAGGTTTGAAGATAGCTAAGACGTGCATCTACACGTTTTTTTTTCTTTCTGTTCTGCTGTTCTATTAGCTGTATAATGTTCTTTCATGTAGAACAAAAAAACTGACGTGTTTGATCGAAATATTGGATTCACGTCACAAAGGTCAGATGAGAAGAAATAGTTAAGACAAAGAAATGGTCCTATTCTAACATGTACCTTGTTAAAGCAGATGGGGGAAAACTTATAGGAAAAAGCAAAGAACAGGAATGAAAGGAACAGCTGCGATATGAGTAATAGAAAAGAACGATTAGTAAACAGATATTAAACAACAATCAGAACGCAACACTTGTGAAACTAGGAAGTATTTGTTTGTAACTATCATCACACTTCCTCTTCATCAAAGATGGAGTGCTGTGCAAATTACAAATCGGCGTTAACAAAAGAAATTTGGTTTTTTCCAAGAAAAAGTTTTGAATTGAAGTTTTGTGTTTGGAGTGTATCTCTCACTTTTCTTTGTTTAAAAGAATAATCAATAGCTTCGATGGATATCTCTTACCCTGTCTCACATCATCAATCATTTAAATTAGAAAATTTAAATCAAACAAGTGATGTCTATTATAAGACCTACGGTAAATTGATCGAGCACATGAAACAGAATTCAATAACAAAAGAAGAAACGTCGACTGACATTGAAATACACCAGGACCAAATAACAAAACGAATCGTCAAACGGAAACAGGAGTACGAAGATGACACAAAAAACAGCCGAAAATTGCCAGCAACTGGAATTCTAGCGCTTCGTATATTCCGAGAGTTACCCATCATGAATCAAACTCGAAAACGAACTTATTCTCACTGGCGATTGAAGTTCCCCACTCGATCGCAAATGATCGAGAGCGGCTTTTTCAATTGCAACGTTGGAGATCGAGTGATTTGCATTTATTGCAATGTGATCTGCCAACAATGGACAGCCACTGATGATCCAAGTGAGATACATAAGTTGCTCTCTCCCGATTGCAGCTTTGTCAAGTCAAATCTGGTTTCGACAATTTCATCAACACGTGTCATTCTTAATGAGACATCTAATGTACCTGCAAATGTAGAGATTGTTCTCACTCAGGCGTGTAATCAGCAGTTTATTGGAATATCACAACGACAGGCATCGTACGCCACGTGGCCACAAGATATCCCATTACCATCTGTCGATGATATTGTTCGGGCTGGATTCTTTTATTCTGGCAAGAAAACGATTGTCACTTGTTTCTATTGCAATGGATCGCTTCAGAACTGGGCGGAAAAAGATAATCCAATGATTGAACACGTTCGATGGTTTCCACAGTGTCCCTATGCAAGACAATTGTGTGGGGATGATCTGTATCAGAAAATTCAGCAATTAAAATGGATTGCTCAACAAGGTACGCTAGCATCTCTGTCAGTTTTCTTCTATATTGCACCCGTGTATATTCATGTTATTTAGCAAATTCTCAGCAACAAATATCGACCGAAGTCTCATTATCGCTACCAAATGTAAACCCAACTATCCGAAACAATTCCTCGTCGAATCTGTTATCGATACCAGATGAGAGCACATTATCAAGATTTGTGGCTGCGAGACTCGATTTACCGGTATCTCAACGAATGTTAGACAAATTCAGATTATCCATAATTAAACGGTGTTACGAAGATCAATTGAGATTAAAACGTAAGTTAAAATGTGCATCCTCTTCTTGTATAAATTTATCTGTTACTTAGTTGAGGATTTTGTGAGCGACAACGATCTGTATATGGCATGTTTAATTCTCCAAAAACAAATTGAAGTTATCGACGGTAAAAAAGAAAATATTATCATTCCATCAAAGCACTTACAAGAAATAACGGAGAAAAATAAACGCGGTAAGTCCTCAATCACTCTTGTTATCCTTTTTAAAATCTAAATATTTTACTTCAGAAGTGATAATAGATCAAACACATTTAACGATGAAACAAGATGAGACTGAAGAAATGGTCACATCGACAGTGGCTGACAATGTTGACAAAAATGGTAGGCAGAAATATTTTTAAAAAAACAAAGAGAAAAATGACCTCATTTATTTTTAGAAGAAAATAAACCAATATCAAAGTTGTCCAATGCTTGTGTGTCATGTTTAAAGGAGGAAAAGCGTCTTGCTTGCATTCCGTGTGGCCACTTGGTAACGTGTGTGCCGTGCGGTCAGTTACTACGCATCTGTCCAGTATGTCGACGAGAAATAGAAGCTTTTGTTCGTGTTTATATTTAACAACATGTCATCAAGGGTGATTTCTCAGTCATAGAAGAAAAGTTCTTTAGATAACAACGTCCGAAGGGATAACATAATCACGAACTGAATGAATGAGAGCTGTTTCTTACATAAACATTGCACATGCGAATTCAGTTTACTCACAGGGTTTATATAAGCTTTTTTCCAAGTCAAAGATATCATTTATAGTTTTACTTTTGTCAAAGTATCGAAAAGAATTAATTAAACTACGAACGAGTAATTAGTGTAATCAATTTCATGATATATGACACGAGCTCAAAATGTGTAAAGCTTGTAATATCGTATTAGAAAAATGCTATGCTTGCAATACAACAGGTGTCTATTAAAAATCATTCTTATAGATTAAATGTGCACTGAGACTCTACAACAAATGTACACACGTTTTCTCAAGTGACCGATCATTTTGATTTCAGACCTCTTTGAGTAGGAAAATGGTACTCAGAAAACAAGCCATGCTTCATTAAGGCGATGCTTCTACTCATGACAATTCCAATTTTTTCTAACGAAAATCGTGTTCGAGTGATGTCCAGCCTATCTTCCCTACATAGGTGAATTCGTGAAATTTAAATATGAGATTTTTGACGCCTGAAGTACCATTCAGACCACTCATAACACTTGTCAAAAGCACCTATAATCAAATCAATTAAATCCAAATATGAAAACAGTGTGATATTTACCTCATTGACCTCGCTTAATAATTTCTAATGAACTGCTAAAGAATATATTTTTGACAGTAATCGGAAAAACAGAAATGTTAAAGCTGCTATAAGAACATGAAAAAGATAATTCATTGATTTGAAATTTACATATGCTTAGGTATTCGAAAAACAGCTAAAAATAGAGTGATGTCAATGTTTTATAATTGATTTAGATTTTTGACTCTAAAAGATTGGTGTAAATTAACAAGCATTGACACTATATAATTTCTGGGTAGTTTCGTAGTTTACGAATACAATATCGTAAAATTCTAAAAGTTTAAGTGGCATTACCCAATGTCTGATAGGACGCTTTCAAGTAAGGCGCGCATAATTCAGACTGACAGGAAAATTGTTTTTGGTTATATTATATACCGTTCGCTAGAGTTTTTCGATTTGATCAAGAATTAGTAGTTTTTACTATTTTGAAACGGTTTTCTCATGTCGAAAAATCGAGAAAACTCGAAAATAGGTTGATGTTCAAAAGAGTTAGATTTTAATGACTTAGGCTTTTGGCCCGCACGTTCAAATTGTCTTTTTCTTATTTAGCATTGAAAACAATTAAAAAATAGTATTAGATTCATGTCGGAGGTAAACTCCTGTTCACCATGGATGTCCGAAATATCTGTCACGCTTTCTTTTAAATTTTATTTCGTTGCTGAGAAAATTCACGTTTTCTAAATCAGAGGTGAAAAAGTCGGAACGCTGTCCGTAACTCTCAGTTTTCTCGATCAGAGCTCACCTTTTATGGGACACAAATAACATATTCGGGATCAGGATCAAAAAACAAATCGGCTGATCTTATCCGAGTACTTTAATTTTTTTCGAATTTTCACGTTGAAAAATTATCGAGATTTTCACCCAAAACTGAAAATCAACTAAAAATTTCGAAATACACATTAACCCAGTCAGTTTTTGATGCTGATTCCGAATATAGTATTTACATTCCACAAAAGTTGAATTTTGATCGAGAAAACTGAGAGTTACGTGCAGAGTTCCGACTTTTTCACTTCTGATTTTTTTTTTCTGCTGAGATGCGAATGATGGCTATAGTCCTTGGCACAAACAATTGACATTTTTTGAGTCATTTTGTAGGTCTACAAAATGACTCACCCGTATTTCCTATTGGTTCTTTCGAACACCCATGATGGACAGGCGTTTACCTCCGATATCTAATACTATTTTTTATTTTAGTTTTAGTATAGAAAAATAATTTGAACGTACCAGCCAAGTCAAAAAATCTAGCGTTTTTGAACATCATTGTTCTTTCGAGTTTTCTCAATTTTTCGACATGAAAAATTAGTTGTGTATATCTTGTAGCTGCAGTTACAATACTTTCTGTATTACTCAAAATTACAGCTCGTTTAACCTTAATTGCTATCTGAATTAAAAAGACAGCATTACGAGCATTTAAAATGGATATTGATTGAAATTATCAATCAATAGGTAGTGTATGACGGTGTTCTACTGTGATAATGCGTCAGTTCGCTATTCTGAGAAAGCCTATACGTATATACAGTTTAATGTTATATACACTGAAAAAAGATTAGATGCGTTACTAGTGAGTGACTAGTGCAATGTAATTGCACAACTTCAATCGTTGTCTAGTATATGGAAGAGAAAGAATGGGTTTACTTTTACAGTTTTTCTACAAAAGTAAATTTGCAAATCGCAATATCTTGTAAAATCGAATAAAGATCTATCATAAGATTTGTAGACCTGGTTGTTATCGTTTGCAACAGGCAAAAGGGAAAAATCAAATTGTTGCCCCTGACGTTTCGCGCAGTCAAGTGACTTCAAGATCGATCTACAAAAACAAATCTTTGATGGGGTATTATTTGGATCGAGACCGTTGAAAAATTACACGTTTGCAGTAGTCTATTTTTATTCGATTTAAGAACGTTTTCGATTCTTCTTCAGTTAAATGAATA